TCCACACACACACACACACACACCTGCACACACACACACTCTCATACACTCTACTCCTGCTCTCTGACTGGCAGCGCACACACATTTCTCCGCTCTGCTGTTTGTATTTTTTTTTTTGACGCACAGTGGGGGGAAAAATGGATCTTGAAAGTGAGACAGAACACCTCTAGCATTTGAGTCCCATCTTGAAAAAAACATACTCACACTAGTGATGTGTAGTTCGTGAACGATCCGTTCAAAACGAATGAATCATCTGGGTGAATGAACTGAATCACTTACTGAAAAGAGTCGTTCATTTCTCAACTTCAGTTGCGCTCTCCTCTCTCCCGTTTCGTATCTCTCTCCAGACCTTAAGAGTCGCTCAAAGCCCGCCCTCCCTCTCCCTTTCATGTCAGTGATACGTACTGACTGAACCAACAGGACGGAGTCGGTCGGGAGCTCTGTGTCACTAAAGCCCGCCCCTACTTCTCCCTCTCATGTCTCCAAAATTGAGGAAATAGCAAACATATTATTTAACATTTAGGTGTCGCGAAAATGTATGTGCTTTTTATAGCTGCTGTCATTTTACAAACGGCTTTTATATCCAACTCAATTTCACTCAGCTGACTGTTTTAACATCTACTAACGATCGTATTTCAGTCAATACAGTGTGTGTGTGTGTGTGTGTGTGACTGAGGCTGGTGACTCGCAGTCTCGCTCGTTCACGTTCACTGAACGAACTGAGGGGAAGAAAATGACTCGGAGGCGGAGCTCTCATTCAGTTCGTTCAGTTCGTTCACTGAACAAACTGAACGAGAGCTCCGCCTCCGAGTCTCTCTCTTCCTCTCAGTCAGTCAGTCAGTGAGTGATTTGTGTACTGAACGTACTGAACAGAACGGTCGGGGAAAATAAATGTGATTGTTTTAGCAGCTTTCAGTTTGTAACTGGAGCTTTATCCATTTAAATTCTCAGCTCATTGGCTTATTATTCACCACCGGCTGTTCTCAGTATGATCGCGAGCAGAACTAAATGTTTGGCCGTGTTTCAGCTTATTAAATTCTGATTCACAGGCAGAGCTGCGGAGAAGTACCGAACGATTCGGTGAACAAATCTTTTGAACGAATCACTTTACTGAACTGATTCTACTGATTCAGTACACTGAAAAGAACTGGTTTTCCCATCACTAACTCACACGTCATCAGAATGTATTTTTTGATCAAAGTTCTATTTTGAATGAGTCAATTTGTCATCTTCGCAGTGGAATAAAAACAGTTTATAATCAGGCTGTTTCTGTGTCTGTAGCTTTAAATGTAAATGAGGTGTGTTTGACCACGCCCCCTCTCTGGAAGGTGATGTGGTGTCTTGGGCTTTCCTGCAACATGCCCATTTGTTAACAGTGGAAAGGCAGACTCAGAGGACAGAACAAACACCTGACGTGGGTGTGTCACCATCATGGGGGAGGGGTTACTCCCCTCTGTGATGTCACAAAAGGAAAATCTCCAAACATCGTGTTTGCACACACATTTTTTGAAAAGTGGAGCAGGCAAAAGACGGAGAGGATGAATTTTTCTCATAATTGTTTTTTTAGACAGGCTAGAGACACATACGTATTGGTGTTTTTGAAAAACATGGCAAAGTGTTTTTTTGCATTATACGGTATGTGACCTTTAATGCCATCAGATTACTTTTAAACAGCTGCTGCCTATAGTCCCTTTTTAACATGACTACTTAAGAAAAGTTGAAGTTCTTCTATGGGGCTAGACATTTGGACTGCTAACCAACAGAGTATTAATTAATATATATCCATGATCTTTTATCAATGAAACAATATAAACACCATTTAATATTTTGGAAGACATCTTTTATTTTTTTAAATGTCGTACTTTTATCATGATTCTAATATTTCTTGAACACTTAATGGGCTGGATTGATGTTTTCAGAGAGCCTGATTGAGTCCATAGGTACTCTGAAGTATTGTGCAGCCTCAGTGATATGCCTCTGTGCTTCTAACAGATCAAAGCAGTTGATTACGACGATACACCCATTCCTGACATGCCGGTGTACCTCTTTGAGGGTGAAATTAGGTCGGAACGACTCACAACTGACTGTGATGGAGTCGCAGATTTCACGTTCAGCACAGATGGATATAACGGTGACATCTACCTCAGTGTAAGTATAAATACAACACTTGATTTTTCTAATCACGATTATTTGTAATACAGTAGTGGTGGTTCTCCAAAGAACCCTCATGAGCTAATTTGTAGTGTTTCTTCTTTTGCAATGTAGCCAAGTAACACACCTGAGAGGAGACCACCTTACAATGTTGAAGAGGGATACTTTGAGATATTACAACACAAGATTTCCATGACCCGGGACGTTTCTGTGGATAGTAAAACAGTGAGCTCCCTGGAGGTGCAGAAGAAGGAGAAACCAATTCCCTGTGACACAGTGGAAAAAATTTCCGTCAAATTCACCATAGTGGGAGAGAGACAAGGCACTGCAACTTTTATTTACGTGGTAAGTGATGGATGTTCTCTCAGGGAAGATGTTTTGAAAATGATTTTTACATCAGATTATTGTCACCTGTCTTCAACGTTTACTTTAGTGCCTTTCATTTATATTTCTGTCTTTTTGTCAATTTGGTTTTTTTCAAGGGCATAGAAATACATTTTGAAACATGACCTAGATTTGTCACTTGCATTTTAACTAATTAAATTAATTACATTTTGCACACAATGCTCTGACCTCAAGATAGGGATCAATTCAGAGGTCAATATGAACTCTGGAATTCTATTGATTTTGAGATTTGGCAGCAAAAAACAGAGAGCAGAGCATTAAATCTGGGGTAGATAGCTCACAGAACGCAAGAAGGGGTGAAGCTGTACAGAGGAAATCTGCACAAGTAACCAGGGTGGGATTTGATTGAGAGGCTGATTTATATCTTTTTTTTTCATTATTAGTATTGGTTTAGTCAAGTTAGAGACCTTAAAGATAGCTAAGTTGTGGTGCGTCCCACTCTCTCCCCCAACATGTCCTGTATCTCTTCAGCTGTACATTCAATTATTGCATAAATATTGCCCAAATAACTTAAAGACTACTTAAGAAATGAGGTTTTACCACTGCATTACTCATTCTCTGATCTCATTCTCAGGTCTTAGCCAGAGGAGCCATCGTCATGCAAGGATATGGCAAGATTGAAGTGCAAGATCAAACAGGTTGATAGCAAATGATTTTTAGGCTGGCTACACACTAGACAATTTTCTAGATTTTAAAAAACGTGGGAGACCACAGACACAAGGACAGTTTCAACTATTTTTTAATGATCGTCTGATCACACACATTAGACGATTTGGCCAAACCACAAGACCGCACAGCTGACATTTGGAATAAATATTTCACAGTAACGATTCCACGGACACGAGATGTCACAAACAAACTTGCATGTTCAAACATGACTTCAGAAGATAAAATGAAGGACAGCTGATCAGTATGTCTTGTGTGACGCCCACAAAATGTGTTGTCACATTTTATGTAATGTGTCTATGTTTTTATTTTGGAATAATATTACCAGGAAAGATCATCACTAATATGTGCTATAATAGCCAGTTAACAGTACAATTCAGTGTCACCAGCAGGAGGCAGTGTGGCGCTGGGCTTCTCCCATGCATGGACTCTCTTTGTTACGGGACTCTCGTTTCTTCCTCATTCTACCGAGTCAAGCTGAACTGAAAAGAAGCACAGTTGCCTGTCTCATTCTTTTCTTCTGTTACACAGAAATTCTCATCTGCTTATGGGATCTCATTTTGAGACCTGTAACAGATTTGTGGGGGCTCATCCGGGATCGGCATCGCCTGAGTAACAGCATACTGATCCAGTGATCTTTGGACCCAGGAGTGCCAGGCTGACGACGTGTGGCTGGAAGGAAAGGGGATTTGCAGTAGGCAGCTCAAGAGGTGAAAGGACCAGGTTATAGGGGCCCAAGCCTAAGGAGTGCAGCACTGTTAACCCACCAGACTACAGCACACAACATGTCTGACAACAAGAGAAAGAAACGTATTTGGTCCATTAGAAAAAGACTTCATCAGTTAAAAGCAGATGAGGCATATGAAATCGCCATTCACCTTGATCCAGTCAAAGGACTTGACTTGGCTGAGTTGAGCAGAGATGATGAAGAGAGCTGTGTTGAGTACATATCTGCTTATATGAACAGCCAAGAACTTGTCGGATTGGAAGATGAGGGTATGACCACGCTATTCCTCAAGTTAGCATCGAGGGTTTTTTAGTTAGTAGTCCGGTCAGGTCAACTCAATGGTCACCAGCTACTGCTAATGTTAAAACACCTGGGTCAGACAGCCTACATCCCTCTATAAGAAGAGGTAACCTCAATAGCCTGCACACATCCAACCCACCTGTCAGTCACCCATCATCTTCTCACTCACCTCAACTGGCTGCAGAAGAGCCACCTGTCCTCATTAGTGAGAGCCCGTCGAGATCTTCCACTGCTTCAAAGAAAAGAGTTCAAGATACATGGAGGACAGATAAGTGACACGACAGCAGACATTAGTTTTAACAGCATGTGCAAGCAGATCCAGGAAGGACGCAGAGAACAACATTCTGATGATGAGATCATTAAAGGGGTCCTGCAAATTATCAAGAGTGGAAATTTTAGAGATATGCTGACAAACAAAGAAGATCTTACAGTCGCCGAGCTGGAAAGTTTCTGGCAGTCCCATCTTGTGGAGAGGAGTTGTACAGAGCTCTTCCAAGAACTGATGTGTGCTCGGCAGCTTGACAATGAAGCTCCACAGCAGTTTATTTATCGTATGATCGGGCTGAAGCAAAAGATAATGTTTACATCCAAACAGACCAATTCATTAATCAAGTATGATGCTTCTACACTCCAGGGCGTTTTCCTGAATGCTGTCTACCAAGGCATGGGAGAGAGACATGAGAATGTCAGACGAGAGCTGAAACCACTCCTTGCTGATCCGACTGTTTCTGATGAAGCTCTGTTGAGACAGGTCATTCAGACAACAATGGAAGAAAGTGAGAGAAAGCACAGACTGGGACGCAGCTCCAGCCGCAAAGTGACACAAGCTCACAGCAACCTTGCTGAATCTGCAGAAACAAACAGTACCATGGGTGAGACCAAAGCAAAAGGTAAAGACAATGTTATCCAGAGACTAAGTGCCCAAGTAGAGGCTTTAACACAGGCAATGGAGGCCCTGAAAAAGTTAACCATACAGCACCAGGTGCCAGTCCACCAGCCTGGTTCTGATAGAACCAGACCAGAGAGAAAGACACCTAGACAATATGGATGTCCACAATGTGTAGCTCAAGCTAAACCAAACTGCAGCCACTGCTTTTCCTGTGGAGAAGAAGGCCATCGAGCTATAGGTTGCACAAGAAAACACAAGCAGTCGGGAAATGGCCATCGGTCAGGACAGAGGGACAACCCTTGACCGACTCAAAAGACAAGTCCCAACCCAAAAGTGGAGCAGAATTAAGATCACAAAAAGATGATAAAAATTCCAAACCACAGACAAAATGTCAACTGTACTCATCTGAGAAGATCGCTCCCCTGATAGGCAGAAAATCCCTGTTGAAATGTAGCATGAATGGTTATGCTATAACTGCATTACTAGACACGGGAGCTAATGTTAGCCTCATTGACTGAGCATGGAAGGACAAGTACTTACCCGAACAAGATATTTGCCCTTTAAGTCAACTAATGGAGGAAAGTCTCAGTGTGACAGCTGTAACAGGCGAGATACTATACGACGGATATGTAGAAGTAGTTGTAAACCTGCAAGGCAACGATGATCCAGACTTATCCATTCGAGTACCCTTCCTGGTGAGTCGACTCAAACTAGAAAGACCATTAGTTAGTTTTAATGTCATCCAGGAACTCATTATGAGTAATGAGAGCAGACCTAAAGTAATATCCATCCTTGTCAGCTTACTTACCGGAGCTTTGTCCATCGACAGTGCAAAGGAAGAAGCCATAGTGAGTTTCATACAGGCAGAGCAACAACAAAAAGAACAAAATGCTACAGTAAAGGTAGGCATGAAAGAAATCACTATTTATCCTGGTCAAATAGCTTACATTAAGTGCAGAGTGCCAGTAGATATCAGTGACTCCAACATACTTGTATTATTTGAGCCCAAATTAGAAACCACACCACTGGCACCCCTGAACATTGGTGAGGGGTTAATGGAAATTCAACAAACCAACTTTGTGTAAAAGTGCCTGTGTCAAACCATTCCAAAAACACTGTGACCCTGCCCAGCTCAACTGTCCTTGGCACCATTGAAGCAATTGATAAAGTGGTAGAGACAGACAAGACAAACAATGAGCACAACCAGGCTCAGGTCAACATTGCAAGTTCCTCACCTTCCCAAAACATGAACAACACTCTGTGGCACCCACCAGTGGATGTTAGTCATCAAAGTGAGGAACAACAGAAGGAAGCTAAGCAAATACTGTATGAGGAGTCAGGAGCTTCTGCTCGAGACGAAGGGGACATTGGGTGTATCCCAAGCCTGAAATTGGAGATCAACCTCAAGGATAACATCCCAGTCCAGCGTGCGTATGCTTCTGTACCCAAACCCCTTTACAAAGAGGTTAAAGAATACATACGAGACCTGCTTGCAAGAGGGTGGATAATTAAATCAAAGTCCTGTTATGCAGCGCCTGTGGTCTGTGTCAGAAAAATAGATGGATTCTTAAGGTTGTGTATTGATTACAGACTCTTAAACCAGAAAACAGTGCCTGACTGCCATCCACTACCTCGCATCCAGGACCTCATCGACACTCTAGGAGGTCACAGCTGGTTCACCATCCTAGACCAGGGTTCCCCTGTACCTCATTAGAGTTTCCATTGACTTTCAAAAGCTCGTAAATGGGCTTTGCAATGCTGGAGAAGCTCTGAATGTACGCTCTATAGTAGCTCAGGAACCCCAGAAGCTTTCGCACTTCACCCACTGTGCTGAGCCTTTTGTCTTTTAATGACATAATAGCGTCAATGTCTTTTGGGTCAATCCTGACACCATCAGCTGAGACCAGCCTCCCCACGTACCTGACCTCTCGCTGGAACAGTTCACATTTTGTTGGTCGCAGCTTGACACCATGGGCCTGCAGCGCTTTCAGGATTCGACCTACTCCTTCAACATGCTCAGCAAACGTTTTGGAGTAGCAAACTATGTCAATAAGAAAGGAAAAGGAGCTCAGTTACCTTCGCGGACACCTGTCCAGTGGACCTGTGAACACCAGAGAATTCTTGAGCAACTGATTGACACCCTCTCACACCCACCTGTACTAGCCTATCCAGACTTTGAACTACCATTTGTCCTCCACACTGATGCCTCAGAGCAGGGACTTGGCGCAGTGTTATATCAGAGACAGGACGGCAAGATGAGAGCCATTGCCTTTGGATCAAGAACTTTGTCCCCTGCAGAGAAGAATTACAACCTGCACTCAGGTAAACTTGAGTTTCTTGCTCTGAAGTGGGCAGTTTGTGAAAAGTTTCGGGATTAGTTGTTTGTTGCACCTCATTTCACGATCTACACAGACAACAATCCACTCACATACATGATGAGCACTGCAAAACTGAACGCAGTTGGTCACCGCTGGGTAGGTGAACTTGCTGACTTCAGATCTGATGTCAAGTACAGACCAGGAAAGGCAAATGTCGACGCCGATACACTCTCTCGACTTCCATTAGACATTGATACCTATGTCAACGAGTGCACTTACAAGAGGAGCTTACAAGAGACACCATTCAAGCTGCATGGGAAGGTTGTGAGGCTGCAAAGGGACAAGATATTGCCTATGTTGCTGCACTTAACCTGATATCACAATCAGAGCCGTCTTTGAACACATCACCACTTACTATTGCACACAGCGAGTTAGTCAAGTCTCAAAGAGCAGATTCTGCTATTGGTGAGCTGATCAAACTGAAAGAAACAAGACTGACAAATGAGGACAAAAGGCGAGCCAGTGGGCCCACAAGAAGGTTGATGCATGAGTGGGGAAAGTTGCATGTGGAAAATCAACTATTGTATCGGACAGCAGGTCAGCGAAAACAGCTTGTTTTACCATCAGAACACTGCAGCCTTGTACTTAAGCATCTCTATGATGACATGGGACACATGGGAGCTGAGAGAGTCATTCATCTGGCTAGAGACCGTTTCTACTGGCCTTACATGAAAAGAGACATTGAGACATATGTGACAAGAAAGTGCCCTTGCATCAAACAGAAAAAACCTGTCACTCATGTCAGAGCACCGATGGGAAGTATCACAACATGTGCACCACTCAAACTTGTTTCCATAGACTACATGCACCTGGAAACAAGCAAAGGAGGCTATGAATACATCTTAGTATTTATAGACCACTTTACCCGGTTTGCTCAAGTGTATCCTACAAGAAACAAGTCAGGCAGAACTGCTGCAGAGAAAATATTCAATGACTTCATCCCTCGCTTTGGCTGCCCGGCAAAGTTACACCACGACGAGAAACTTAACTGGAGTTGCTCACTCCAGAACAACCTCTTATCATCCTCAGGACAACCCAGCAGAAAGTTTTAATAGAACGTTGCTTCAAATGTTAAGAACACTGGAAGAGAAGGAAAAGAGCAACTGGAAAGAACATTTACCCCTGGTGGTGCATGCGTACAACTGCATCAGACATGAGGCAACAGGCTTCTCACCTCACTAGCTCATGTTTGGCCAACATCCCTGTCTTCCAGTCAACTTAATGTTTGGCTTGTCAGCTAAAGACCAACCTGAAACACCACAAGACTATGCCAAGAAATGGGCTTTGAGAATGAAAGAGGCTTACCAACTAGCAGGTGAGAACAGCAAAAACTCAAGTGAAAGAGGAAAAAAATACTATGACCGACACATCAAGGGAGTTGTACTCCAACCTGGTGATAGAGTCTTAGTCTGCAACATGAGTGAAAGAGGAGGGCCAGGAAAGTTAAGATCCTATTGGGAACAAACTGTGTATGTTGTCAAAGAGAAAGTGAACGACAATCCCATTTACAAAGTGCTCCCGGAGCAGGGTAATGGTAAGAGTCGTGTCCTGCACAGAAACCTCCTACATGTTGTAAATGACCTGCCTGCAAACTTACCTGACCAACAAAAGAGTCCATCACCAGCTACAGGAAAACATAAGCAAAAGAGTCATCACATGTGGGAACAAAAACAGAGAGAAATGCAAAGCAGTGAATCTGAAAGCTCTGACAATGAAACACCCATAGTGCAATACTGGTTAAGAGTACCACCACGACGTGAACCTCAAACCCAAAATGTAAGACCTACCTGTGATTCCAAGAGAAACCCAGATAGCTTACAAAGGTTGCCTGAATCACACAGAAACACATCATCAAGAGGCCACACATATGAGCAGCCACAAAGAATCTCACCCGAAAGAGAAACCAGACAAGAGCAATAAGCACAACACACTGATGAGGAAATCCAACCTGAGAACCCTGAACAGCCAGTTGAGCAGGAGTACAATCAGGATATTCATGATGATCAAAATGATGGACAAGTGATGCTGAAGGATGAATTAATCAGAAAATCTGCACGGGACAGGAGACCTCCCCAGTTGCTGACATATGAGTCTCTTGGCCAACCCTCCAACCAACCACATCGACAGATGTGGGCAGCTGGACTTAATGCCGTGCAAGCCCTGCCTGGTTGGGGTATACAGAACTATCCCTTGCATCATTATAACACTTACCAGACATCGCCTTGCACTGTAATGATGCCATACACATACTCATATTAAAGTGCACTTACACACTCACTCACACATATTATTGACCTAAGTTTAAGAAGTGTTTTATTCTGATGAGTAGATTTAAGTAGGAAAAAGTAAAAAAGAGTTTCAGTGTTTGTTTGAAATGTCAGGAGCCATTTTTCTTTGTCAGGGAGCATGTGAGCCCACAAAATGTGTCGTCACATTTTATGTAATGTGTCTATGTTTTTATTTTGGAATAATATTACCAGGAAAGATCATCACTAATATGTGCTATAATAGCCAGATAACGCTCCACTTCAGTGTCACCAGCAGGAGGCAGTGTGGCGCTGGGCTTCTCCCAAACATGGACTCTCTTTGTTACGGGACTCTGAACTGAAAAGAAGCACAGTTGCCTGTCTCATTCTTTTCTTCTGTTATACAGAAATTCTCATCTGCTTATGGGATCTCATTTTGAGACCTGTTACACTTGCATGAGACATTATAAAGGAACTTGTATTGTTGCCATAATTTCACAAGCTGATCTCCTTTTTAATATTCCACTTGGCTCGGGTGCCAGGCGTGTTTGTGTTCACTGCCAGGTTTCTGAGTTGTGAAAGTACACGCAACATCTGGTTGGTGACAAACCCGGTCTGCTTGCTTTTAATTGGCTATTACCCAATTCCGTCGGAGAAAGCCCAAACTCTAATCGTGAATATTTATGATATTTATGAAATCGTCTAGTGTTTAGCCAGCCTTAGAAAGCCTACCCTCAAAGTTGATTGGTTAACTGCTTTTTTATCGATCTCTGAAGTGATTTGAAATATAAGTTAACACTTTACAATGAGGTACACAAATGTTACATAGTTAGTGGGAAACACTAAGTAATGGGTAGATATTGAGTACTTCTTCATCACATGTTCTAGATAATGATTATTTGATAGATAATGAATGTAATGGTTCAGTAATGCCTCAGTACTGAGTAACTAGTAGTTGTTACCTGGTGGTTAGTTTCCCATTTGTTTCACACTAACTATGCAAAATGTGTGCACCTTTTTGTAAACTGTAAGCAAAAATGATTCTTGTCCATTAAAAAGTCTGTTTCACTGTTTTTAGTGACTCAGGGCGAGATGTCTATTAACATCAGAGTGTCCCCTGAGATGTCCCCAGACGTCCAGCTTGTGGCTTACGCTGTCCTCCCCAGTGAGATGGTGATCGCCCACAGTGCTGACTTCTCCACTGAGAAATGCTTCAGGCACAAGGTCAGCGTTATGTCTCACAGACTTTCTGTTTGTTATAATAGTTGTTGTGTACCACTGACAGTATTTCTTTGTGTCAGGTGTCGCTGGAGTTTTTTCCGTCCTCAGCTGTCCCAGGAGAGGGAAACACCCTGCAGGTGACGGCCCAGCCAAACTCTCTGTGTGGTGTGAGCATTGTCGACCAGAGCGTCCTCATCAAGGAGCCTGGGAAAAGTCTTGACAGCAACAGGGTAATGGCTGGACAACTTATACTGTAGATGCATAATGCTTGATGACATCCGCATGATCTTTTGGACAAATTAACATAATCGGTCACCCAGTTTCAGTTCTATTCAATGACAATTTCTTCTTTTTCTCCAATGCACTGTGTTGCACCAGCTATTAATAAGTTCAATCGTAGTCTACTTTTGAAATAATTCCTAATTGAGAAATTACAGAGTTTGCGCTACATTTAAGGTGTTGCACCAGCTGAGATCGTTCCAACATAGTCGAAAGTTACACCTACTGTATCTCCTAGTAAGTGGAAAGTCCTCCTTAAAATCCGGTTGTCAAGGTGATGGTTTAGAAAAGTGGGATAACTTAAAGAATGAGGTGGAGCAGAGGGTTTTACCAGCTGTTTGGTGTTAGCTGTGTGTTCTCTGTGATAAATTACATCCCTGTTTGTTTGGCTAGTTAGGGTAGGTGATTTGTGGGGATTTGTTTCCCCACAAATTGGGGATATTGCAGTTTTGCATTAGATTGAGATTTAAGAAAAAAACCCTGTAGTAAACATTTAAATTACTGATTGTAAGTCAACGTCAAAATTGGGACTTAAGTGTGGCTGTTCGGCACTGGTGGTGAGCAAAAAGATGTCAGGAGGCAGAAATCGATGCAAAATAAGGTGGTTGATTTATTAACCAAAAATAGCACAAAACAACAAAAACAAAAGTCCCGGGTAATCTAATAAAACAACTAGATTAAATAAACTGAAAGAAAACACAGCCTCACAGCAAGCTGCCACCAACAAACATTTCCCCCATAGACTCTGGCTGAGTCTGGCTTTATACAAGAAACAACCCAACTGGCCTCACTTTGTCCAATTAAGCTCAGGTGATTTCACTCAGCCTAATCACTCTGCAGGCCACAGTCAGTGTAGGGAAGGTGGGGGCAGGTGAAAGGTATGGGAGAACCTTCACTCACCCACATCACTCTGCAAGCTGCAGTCAGTGTAGGGAAGGTAGGGGCAGGTGAAAGGTATGGGAGAACCTTTTCACACCAAACCTTTCTTTTTTCAGATATTTGACTTATTGCCCATCACAAAGGTGTACTATATTCCCTTTGAAGTTCTGGATACTATAGAGTGCTTGGTTGTGAGGCCTAAAAGAAGCATTTGGCCCCGTCCTGATGTGACAGATGACCCTTACACCGTTTTCACGGTATTTAATGCACTAAAATGAACACATAATATCAAGAATACATATTTCAACATACTGCACATCTTATTTGTATATCTTTTTTTTTGTGACACCTTCATGTTGTCTGATTATGTAGAATGTAGGGCTGAAGATGGCGACAAACTTGGGTGTCCGAGTCCCTTCATGTCTCCAATACGGAGGAAGGAAATACGTCCCTGATCAAGGTGATTTATTTATATATTGTTAAAACAGCACACCACTGCCCTCTTTTGACAGAGTATTTTCTGGTGTCTTTACAGATGTTAGAAAAAAAGAGGTAGTTATACGCACATCATGTAGGTGCAGGTCCGTGTATAAACAGCCACATCTTCTCTTCCACAAATCCTTTTTTAAAAACACATGAACACGTGAAAATGATACGTAGATGACATTTGTATATTATACAAGGGTCCTGTCGACATTTTATTACAATTTTCTGACTACCTTAATAACTGTCATGAACATTTGAAGTTCACCATGTGTCATGATGAGGACAAAAGTAGCTTCCTGGACACCCTGGTGAAGGCAGAACATGACAGACCCTGACAAATGTTCTTTCGTACACGGACAATCTTTCCATCCAGTCCATCTGAAAAAAAATCTTCCAATTAGTCAGTTTAGCCGCATCAGACAGATCTACACAAAAGAAACAGACAAACTCGAACACAGATTTAAACAACGACTGCTGGGTAAAAGCAGCCAGAGACAGGTACAGCAGGTTTACTCGGGATGTGTGTCTTATTAAGAAAGAAAATAACCCCAAAGGTACCAGCCTTAAATGCTCTTTAAATTACTCCCCAATGGGAAAATATTTTGTAACCACAATCAGAAAACACTGGCATATTTAAAACTCTGATCCATTATTAAAGGATGAGTTCAGGGATGCACCAAAAGTGATAAACAAACACCACCCAAAAATCAAGTTGGATCTCATCCAAAGCACTACTCGCCTACTACTACATACAATCACCCTACTACTGTTTAAACTTGGCTGCACATCTGTTTATAATAATGAAAATATATCTAAAATAAATAAATTAGAACCTGTAAACATTATGAACAGCTGGACTTAAATAATCAAGTCAGATGTGTTGACTGAACTTTACATATTAATTCTGTATGTTTTTTTTTATGGTTTTATAGATGTGTTTCATTATTTATAGATGTGGGACATTTTGAATATCTATAAATATGGTGTGTGGCCTCCCTTCCTTTGTTAAAAAATGATCACCGAAACATTGTGATGAATCAAAACTTTTTGTGGCATTTGAGCAATTGTGTGTGCTCTTCCTCAGGTTACGTTGTTTTCTATGAGCCTATGCCAATGAATCCACAACTTGCTGAGGCTTCTGGAGGAACGCTTCCACCACCAATAGTGACAGTCCGTACTTTCTTCCCAGAGACTTGGATATGGGATCTGATAGAAATTGGGTGAGCTCAGTTTTAAAAACACTTCACAAATGTTTTTTTTTATTGTTATGAAATGAGGGGGGGGACATGGCTTTGCCATGTCTTCATTATCCGACAACCACAGAAAACAGATATTAAAATCAACTGCAAGTTTTGGCCACTTTTGACCATTATACAGAACATGGGACACTTTTTCAATCTCTTTCATTTACAGTGGGTACGGAAAGTATTCAGACCCCTTTACATTTTTCACTCTTTGTTTCATTGCAGCCATTTGCTAAAATCAAAAAAGTTTATTTTATTTCTCATTAATGTACACTCAGCACCCCATCTTGACAGAAAAAAAAACAGAAATGTAGAAATTTTTGCAAATTTATAAAAAAGAAAAACTGAAATATCACATGGTCATCAGTATTCAGACCCTTTGCTGTGACACTCATATTTAACTCACATGCTGTCCATTTCTTCTGATCCTCCTTGAGATGGTTCTGCTCCTTCATTGGAGTCCAGCTGTGTTTAATTAAACTGATTGGACTTGATTAGGAAAGGCACACACCTGTCTATATAAGACCTTACAGCTCACAGTGCATGTCAGAGCAAATGAGAATCATGAGGTTGAAGGAACTGCCGAAGGAGCTCAGAGACAGAATTGTGGCAAGGCACAGATCTGGCCAAGGTTACAAAAGAATTTCTGCAGCACTCAAGGTTCCTAAGAGCACAGTGGCCTCCATAATCCTTAAATGGAAGAAGTTTGGGACGACCAGAACTCTTCCTAGACCTGGCCGTCCAGCCAAACTGAGCAATCGTGGGAGAAGAGCCTTGGTGAGAGAGGTAAAGACAAACCCAAAGATCACTGTGGCTGAGCTCCAGAGATGCAGTAGGGAGATGGGAGAAAGTTCCACAAAGTCAACTATCACTGCAGCCCTCCACCAGTCGGGGCTTTATGGCAGAGTGGCCCGACGGAAGCCTCTCCTCAGTGCAAGACATATGAAAGCTCGCATAGAGTTTGCTAAAAAACACATGAAGGACTCCCAGACTATGAGAAGATTCTCTGGTCTGATGAGACCAAGATTGAACTTTTTGGCTTTAATTCTAAGCGGTATGTGTGGAGAAAACCAGGCACTGCTCATCACCTGCCCAATACAATCCCAACAGTGAAACATAGTGGTGGCAGCATCATGCTATGGGGGTGTTTTTCAGCTGCAGGGACAGGACGATTGGTTGCAATTGAAGGAAAGATGAATGCGGCCAAGTACAGAGATATCCTGAAAGAAAACCTCTTCCAGAGTGCGCAGGACCTCAGACTGGGCCGAAGGTTCACCTTCCAACAAGACAATGACCCTAAGCACACAGCTAAAATAACAAAGGAGTGGCTTCGGAACAACTCTGTGACCATTCTTGACTGGCCCAGCCAGAGCCCTGACCTAAACCCAATTGAGCATCTCTGGAGAGACCTGAAAATGGCTGTCCACCAACGTTCATCATCCAACCTGACAGAACTGGAGAGGATCTGCAAGGAAGAATGGCAGAGGATCCCCAAATCCAGGTGTGAAAAACTTGTTGCATCATTCCCAAGAAGACTCATGGCTGTACTAGCTCAAAAGGGTGCTTGTACTCAATACTGAGCAAAGGGTCTGAATACTTACGACCATGTGATATTTCAGTTTTTCTTTTTTATAAACTTGCAAAAATTTCTACATTTCTGTTTTTTTTTCTGTCAAGATGGGGTGCTGAGTGTACATTAATGAGAAATAAAATGAACTTTTTTGATTTTAGCAAATGGCTGCAATGAGACAAAGAGTGAAAAATGTAAAGGGGTCTGAATACTTTCCGTACCCACTGTACATATACTGTATCTAGAAGATAATCCTTCCCCTTAGGGCCCTGTAGGATGAAAGTCTACAAAAGTACTGACAGCTTTGTGTATTTTTAAAGTGACTGGGTCAAAAATACTGCCGTAGAAGGGCAAGAACTTCATCATCATCCAAGCATAGGCGAGTGTTTATTAGCTAACATTAGCTAGTTAATGTTAGCTAACGATAGTATCAGGACCCCTGTCCCCTCTCACTATCAGTGATTTGGGGCAGTACTGTTAGTTAAAAGGCAGTAATATTTGGATCAAGTTAACACAATATTTTATGGCAGGATTAGAGGAAGTCTGTTCTTTTTTTCCCTGACAGCGGAGCGTCTAACATCATTAATCCACAATATGTACCTCTGGGTTTTCTTACTCAGATTACATTTTGTAGAAGTCCAACCTGGTCTTGTTTTTTCATTGGTTACTGCATCACTTTCAACACTAGTAAATGTCTTTAGTTTAAAAAATAAAACTGGTCAAAACGTGTAGGTAGCAACTGAAGCCTTCTTGCCTGCCAGTGTGGGACGTCATTAGAGCTTTGAAAACCCAATGTAAATATATTGTGGAGCAAAGACTTCTTTCATAGTATCTTATGGCAGCAAATACTGACAACGAAAAGCATTCAGCTAAACAAATTATGGGGGGTTAATATGACATGAGTTTAAGACAGATGAACAAGTGGAGTGGAGAATATCAGGTGAGTCCATTATATCTGGGGAGAGGTGTATGGTTGAGAAAGGAGGAAGAACGTGGGCCTCTGTTTGAGAGGATGAGATACACAAGACCTTTGGAAGCTGAATGTGACTGTGGATGAGAAAAAGGGAGACGGACTGTTACAACACTGTTTTTGTGTTCCTGCTGATAAACAGAGAGACTGGTACCAAGAATGTGCCCCTCACTGTTCCTGACACCATCACCACCTGGGAGACGGAGGCTTTCTGTTTGTCCTCTCAGGGTTTTGGTTTAGCTCCTCGTAAAGAGCTCACCGTCTTCCAGCCTTTCTTCCTGGAGCTCAGCCTGCCTTACTCCATCATCCGAGGCGAGAACTTTGAGCTGAAGGCGACCGTCTTCAACTACCTGTCCAGCTGCATCATGGTAATGAATGTTTTTATGATCTAATAGCTAATGTCAGCAAATAACTGCTCAAAGCTGAAACTAATACGAATGAAGTAATTGTCTTTATTTTATGTGACTTACGGTTGCAGAACATAACTTGATTGGTTGAAATGTAAGCTTAACTAAAAAACAGAAATGGTTTTATCAGAATATTTCTGTCTCAGTAGAACACAAGAGCAAGCTCTCCCTTCAACCAAACACAATTAAACCCCGCAAAGGATAAACACAAGTGACTCACGTTCAAACTGTCTTTATATGCTGATGTTCTTATTTTAATAAATGTGCTCTGTAAATCTCCAATTATCTATTATTTTGTTATCTCTTCTGTACAGGTCACTGTGACCCCAGCCCCCTCATCTGATTTCACACTCTTTCCATACCTTGAAGACGAGTTCAGAACATGTCTGTGTGGTAATGAGCGCAAAAGCTTCAGATGGACCCTGACCCCTTCAGTCATAGGTTAGAACACAGCCTTCATCCACACTGATGCATACGATTTTAGTGAAGACATCATTGATTTGATTCTTTGGAATTTACAGGATATTTAAAAAATGTGTTTGTTTATCTTGTTTTCAGGAGATGTGATTGTTTCTGCGACTGCTGAGGCTGTGGTGTCCGATATCACATGCAACAACGAGGTAGTGAGTGTGCCAGAGAGAGGTCGTTCTGACACGGTCTCAAGAACTCTTAAAGTAAAGGTTGGTATCTTAAAAGTAAGATGACAAAGTCAAAGGTGTGTGTGTGTGTGTGTGTGTGTGTGTGTGTGTGTGTGTGTGTGTGTGTGTGTGTGTGTGTGTGTGTGTGTGTGTGTGTGTGTGTGTGTGTGTGTGTGTGTGTGTGTGTGTGTGTGTGTGTGTGTGTGTGTGTGTGTGTGTGTGTGTGTGTGTGTGTGTGTGTGTGTGTGTGTGTGTGTGTGTGTGTGTGTGTGTGTGTGTGTGTGTGTGTGTGTGTGTGTGTGTGTGTGTGTGTGTGTGTGTGTGTGTGTGTGTGTGTGTGTGTGTGTGTGTGTGTGTGTGTGTGTGTGTGTGTGTGTGTGTGTGTGTGTGTGTGTGTGTGTGTGTGTGTGTGTGTGTGTGTGTGTGTGTGTGGTGTCGGCAGGATTACATTTCGTATTATGCACAAGAACCAATCCGGTGTATGAAACCTTTATCTTCTAGTTCCCCACGTGTACATTCACAGAGATCACTGAGCGTGCATGAGAGAGTAGACAAACGCACTAACACCACCTACACAACAACAAAACTCTGATTAACCACAAAGTTGCCAGACAACTAACCTTTAAACAAGCTCAATATTGGGAGCACTGTAGTATAATATACCATTATACGTATTGGAGAGGAACGCAAAGTAAAAGTCAGTATTGAGTTTCATCCATAATAAAGCTGATGTCACCTGGAGAAGCTGAGGTAACACATACCATATGTTTGCTGATGTGTGTAGAAAATATCTGAGTCGTCTGGGCTTGGGAACAAGTCACTGATGTGCGTATCTGCCCTCTTAGATTGCTCCTAGACTTCATCATGGACGAGCTGACACACTCAATAAACTGAAATCAACATATTTGACTTCACAGTTCAGACAGAGAAGTTGGCTGTAATAACCCTTGATCATTAATGTTTACTATAGTTACGTTACACCAGTCATATGACTTCAAAAATATTTGCGTCATGACGTTGGTGAGTGGAAGCTGCCAAAGACAGCAATTCAAGAACAGACAAGAGGAACATTTTTTTAAAAAGGATTAATCATGGGATGTCACAGGATGAAAAATGATACCTGCAAATCACACAAACGATAAGGTGCTGTTTCCTTCCCCATCAGGCTGAGGGAATCGAGAAGATAAAGTCGTCCAACTTGCTGCTGTGTCCAAACGGTAACTTTGCTGTGTTTTTCTACTCGCGTGTAGTTTAATGGTCCCAAAAAAATGTACAGTGTCTCATATTCTAAATTCATCACTGAGATACCTACTGTAGTTGTTGCTCCCTGAACACCAAATTGTGTCACATTGATCTCCTTTTCACTCTGTTTTATTTTTTCATTCTTGATCCACTGACCATTCACATACATGTTAATGACACTTTAATTTGAGTTTCTCTTCATAAGACGCTCGTTTCTCTGTCTGTTTACAGATGAGACTTTGACGGAGGAAGTAGAGATACAGCTCCCCGAGGATGAGATTGATGGATCTGGACGTTCTCTTGTATCAGTCCTGGGTAAACGAATACAATCATACACATTGACTGGAAAGACTTTCCTCCTTTATCAAGGGAAAACATTAATGTCAGGATATCCAGAAAACATTCAAAAACTGATTAATTATCACAGGAAAACAGAGTAAAATAACTGAATACACAATACCAGTTTGTGGGCTGGACATATTTGTATTTCATTCATATATTTCAATGAAAAGTTTAATGATTTGTTCCAGTTATTCTTACTCGGTATGTTAATTAACTTTATGCACCACAAGGCACAGCTCTTTACATTTTAATAATACATATCTAGGCATATAATTATTTAATTTATCAACAAAGCAAAACAATTATATTTACAAAAAGCAAAGCAAAACTGCTTCTCTTGACATAAAACATGGTAGCCTAAACAAAATTGAGAGTATTATTGCCATAGAAGCAGAATCTAGAATGTATGTCATTCTTCATGCAGCATTGGCCACAGGAACAAATAATTCTCTTGATCGTGCTTAAAACTAATTCCATTTGTTCTCAAACATCTGCTGTTGAGCCTACAAGTTGTTAATTCTAAAGGAAGGTTTTATAACAGCCGTCTTACCCATCTTTTTATGTTTCTCAGAATAAATTCTGAAAAGAAGCTGAGGGTCATGGATGATTGATTTTGAAGTGATCTTTTCTTTGTAACTTTGACCTCTTCCCAAAACATTTAAATATGCTAAAAGCAAATAAATAATGTTCCATTGAGTCTCCTATAAGATACCGCCATAGAATAGGCAGAATACAAATTCTCCATCTTGAGATTAAAGGTCAGTTTGGTTGCATGTGCACTCATAGTGAGTCTGTTTTGCTGTCAGGTGACATCATGGGCAGAGCCCTGAAGAACCTGGACGGTCTGCTGCGGATGCCATATGGTTGCGCTGAGCAGAACATGGCGGTTCTGGCCCCCAACATCTACATCCTCCAATACCTGGAAGACACAAAACAGTTGACCCCAGACATCAAGGCAAAGGGTACCAACTTTCTGACCAGCGGTGAGTCTCTGTTAGTTCAACGTTTCTGCTAAAACAGAACATTTATACGTTTAGATATGCCAACAGAAGAAGTGTTGCTCATACTGTTACTTCCCTATTGATCATTATTCTAATGTTATACAGGTTACCAGAGACAGCTGAACTACAAAAATAACGACGGCGCTTTCAGCACATTTGGATCAGGAGGATCAGGAAACACCTGGTGAGAATATTACTGATCCACAAGCAAAATGTAATCCTTATTGTAGGTTTCCACTGAATGAAGCCTTAGTTTGTCGCTCTAAACATTCCCTTGTTCATATTTCACTCCAAATATTGGCAGAGAAGATTTGGCAAGTTTTTCATTGGCAGAACCCACATACTCAGCTTTGCTGCTTATCCCACAAATGCATGTTCCTTACAAATGTGGCACCATTTAAAAGGGAAATAAACAGGCGTTCCAACGGTATACAATTTATTGCCAAGAAGCGTTGTTTCAACAAATAAATAACCTACCAAACACAAATTTCCTTACTTTTTATGCAATGTTGTCACTTGCAATGAGTCTCTACCATTGCAAAATGAAAACAAAGACCATTGAAGTCTGCTCACTGTACCCTGTTTAGCCAGGTAGCAGTGATAACAGTTATAAAAAATCTTTTTGAAAATCCTGATAGCGTCGTCTGGCTGCTCTAACCTCTCTAACATGCACACTGTTAATTATTTGCACCGTGAACCAGCCATTGCATCCTATTATAACTCAAAAGCTCTTAACAGTAATATTACTTTTGTGTTATGTGAATGTTTGTATTATTAAGTACTTCTTATTAATGGAAGAACTAGCGTAGAGACTTACCTTATAATTAGGGCCTGAGCACGAACCGTGCGAGGACCCTCTTGAAACCCTAGCGATTATTCTTCTTCTCGTTCTTAGTCCGCCTCTTTGCGGCCACTTTTGAGGGCCTTGAAGGTGCCCGAAAACTCACCAAACTTTCCACGGTCATCAGGTCTCGCAAAAAATTTCGTAAACGGAGTTCGCAAAATGGCTCAGTTGCGCCCCCTTGAAATGTTCAAAATGGCCTCCCCATAAAGGGTTTTTTCACGTACACTCACGGAAATTGGTACGCATATTAAGCTCGTCAGGACGGACTAAAAATCCTCTTGCAGCGTTTCAAAAAACCCGACAGGAAGTCCACAAATTAAAGTTGAATTTCACGATAATGGCCCAAAATCGCTCAAAATCGCAGATTTCAGCCTTCCTATTTAAACGCACTTGTCCGAGGGCGCTCATCCGATCAACGCAAACTCAGTGTCAGTGCGTTCTAGACAGGCTCAACATATCTCGTTGTGCGCTGCACGTTATTTCGTCAAAGGGCGTGGACGTGGCCGTGGCGTGCGTTTTAACCTTTTTGAGCGTTTTGGCAAGTTTCCTAAAAAAGTAAATGCTTATATCTCTGCCATCTAATGTTCAATCATATAAAAATTTCTCATGCATGATACGGGACCCACCTTGAACACATCCATGATCGACATTTTTTGATTAGTCACAGCGCCACCTGTTGACAACAGGAAGTTACTGCTTCTCAATTAGCATTAGCCATTGCTACAAGGTAGCTCATTTCCCACTCAAAATTGGTGTGGACCATGCTAACACCTTGGCCATACAACACTTTCAACCTCAAACGCCTACATCCAACACTGTCGCCATACGGACGCGTCGCTCGCCATCAAACAGGACGTTGTTTTTTCACGGGCTTAACATAGTCGTACTGTCCCGAAACTTCATACATATAATCCTGGTAGTAAAGTCAAACATCTTACACCGTTTAAGTGAGTGGGCGTGGCTTAGTGGCTCAGTGGCGCCCCCTACAATATTTCAAACATTCAGCCCCCGCAGCACGTTGAACCTACAATTCTGAATTTTACTATGCATTTCCAACATGACAAAACCTACAAAAAAGGCTCTTGCACCCACGCCCAAAACTCAACAAGAAGTCCACAATCACATCCTCATCAAACAGGAAGTGGCTGTATCTCTTATATACTTTGGGTGCATCCGAATTGTCCCTCCTGTCTCCTTTCACTATCCACTTTACCTTAACCCCGCGAAAACGTCATGAGGTCAAGGAAAGATGTTAGGAGAATTCATAAAGGACTTAGGGAAAGGCGATCTCGTTGCTCTGACAATCCAACCACATTTTCCACTAGGCGACGTCATTAAATGCGACGGGCCGGCGGAGGTTAATGACGTGGGTCTGCCGTGTTGAAACTACAATGTTCCGAAAATGGACTACAAAAAACGCATCTAAAAAACTCTTTCTGTGCCTTCTTACCGGTGAAATAATCCTAATTTTCAAAAGGTTGGGATTGAAATAAAAGAAATATAGACTACCAGGCTACGAGTAACAAAAGTGAAACCTTCACCTTTCTGTCCACTCATAAATCAACATCAAAATAAATATGAAATTAATTGTTACATGTATGCAAGACAAGAATGTACAACTGAAGAAATGCACAAAACATTCTGAATTGAATGAAATATGTTGAATAAAACATCATCTGATAAAAATGTCTCTTATCTTTTATCTCTTACATGATCTGTGTCACTTTACGATCATCGTTACTGTTCGTGAACGGTCTTTTAGAGAATTCGAACGGTTCTTATCATGGCCGCCACTTAACTGCTTCCGGGGTTAAGGTAAAGTGGATAGTGAAAGGAGATAGGAGGGACAATTCGGATGCACCCTGTGTCTGATCTGCTTAAAACACAGTGACACAAAAAAATAATAAAGTTTAACCACAGCGCCCCCTAATGCAAGGACTAAGTACTACATCATACATACTTTCTGGGATCTGCTTAAAATTTCCCAGGTATGATCAGGGTTGGCCTCTGAACACATTGACATAGCAATCATTTACTTTAACCATAGCACCCCCTACTGCAAGGAGTAAGTACTGCATCTTATATACTTTGTCTGATCTTTTTCCCATTTCTCAGGTATGTTCAGGGTTGGCCTCTGAACACATTGACATAACAATCATTTACTTTAACCATAGCGCCCCCTAATGCAAGTACTAAGTACTACATCCTATATACTTTGTCTGATCTGATTGAAATTTCACATGTATGATCAGGGTTGGCCTCTGAACACATTGACATAACAATAGTCAACTTCAACCATAGCGCCCCCTAATGCAAGGACTAAGTACTACATCCTATATACTTTGTCTGATCTGATTGAAATTTCACATGTATGATCAGGGTTGGCCTCTGAACACATTGACATAACAATAGTCAACTTCAACCATAGCGCCCCCTACAGCAAAGAGTAAGTACTACATCCTCTATACAATGCTCAATTTCCTCCAGCTTTCATAGCTATCATAACAGTGCCAGCCTGAACTGCTCTACGTCAAAATTTAATGTGATCTTCACTACACTGCCTATTTCAACATGCCAGTACTACGACTTTTACACAAATCGAACTGCACAGCCTGCTGCTTAGTCACGTTCCGCTGCTGCTGCACTCCCGTGGTTGCGACACACATGCACAGGGGTGCGAGGGCCCTTCATGTCCGCTTGCGGTTTTAATTAAGTGTTATATTTGATATATTAGTGCCCTTTGTGAAAAATGAAAACTTGTATCGAGTGCTTCCAGTTGTTTCAAATATCTAACTTTTTTTTTTACTCTGCAGGCTGACCGCCTTCACGATGAGATCTTTTGTCAAGGCTCAGAATTTCATCTTTATCGATCCGAAAGTTATCAACGATGCTATGATCTGGCTAACAAACAGTCAAAAGGGCAGTGGCAATTTTAAACTGATGGGAAAATTCTTCAACAACCAAATAAAGGTAATCAGAAACAAGTGACAAAAGAAGGATAAACTGGGCTCTGATTACGAGAGTTTTAAAATTCCTACCATTTTGTTATGAACTGCACATGTGACAAAACTTATGAGATATTCTCCCGTCTTTAGACATTTAGAAATGACAAGATTTTAAAATCTATTCTTCATTGAATTATGTGTGCTAAGGAAGAGTCAAAAATAGCCCTTTTTTCTTTACCAGATTCTTGGCTTAAGAATCCTGAATTTCTAACACGGTTGCCATGGCGATGGTTTTGACAAGTAGGATAACTTGGAGGGTTGAGGATTAGAAGATGATTTTACCACCTGTTTGGTGTCAGCAGTGTGTTCTCTGTGACTGCTTTGGTTTTCCATGAGTGGAGATCATTTCACAAAAAGACGTCACTGTTATTTGACACTAGCTGTAGATCAAGGCTGTAGGCTTTAGTCATAACCTTATCATAATATTTTGTCATATATGACAAACATTTTAGTTTCTGTTTGTGGATTGATGTCAGTTTACCAATGTTATTTCAGCCCTTAGTCTGTCCAGAGCCGATTAGACATGAGAGGAAAGACTGGAACCAAATTATGACACAATTTAAAATAGAAACTAGCTTAGAGTTTAGTGTGGACTTTACAATTCTACAATTCACTTAGCAGACTCTTTTATTCAAAGCAATGTACATCAGAGAGTAAGTACAAAAGAAGCAAGGATCTAGAGAAAAAGGGAACAATGTCAGTAAGTGAAAATGATCAGCTTTGAGTCCGATTGGACACACAGGTGCTGACAGGCAATACGCAGAGTAAAAGCACAACATTCAGCATCAGTCAGTATCATCTTGAGAGCTCTAATCAGTATAGAAACCATCTTATAAGTCGTCAGTATCAAACAAAAACCATTACCATCATCATCATCAATAATATGGAGACCATCATCATTAAGTTAGTAGGTATTCATGAAAGAGCTGGTCTTTAGCTTTTTCTTAAAGGTGCAGAGGGACTTTACATCAATAATATGGAGACCATCATCATTAAGTTAGTAGGTATTCATGAAAGAGCTGGGTCTTTAGCTTTTTCTTAAAGGTGCAGAGGGACTTTACACCACAACTCATAATTTATGTTACTCTTGATGAGCCCTAAAAAAACCTGCCAACCTTGACCAACCACTGGAAATCTGCTGACTGAAATAATTTTATGAATTGATCCTCTGGAAGTTGTAGTGATGATAATGTCTGTATGATGCTTCCTCTCTGCAGGGCGGTGTGTCTGATGAAGTGATAATCACTGCTTACATCACGGCTGCCTTCTTGGAGATGAACCCGACTGTGACTGTGAGTACCCTCCTCTCAGTGAGTTTGTGTGGTTTCACTGTAAACCGTTGATTATGTTATTAAATGATTCATCCGGTTATCCCATCCACTTTGTAAAGATGGACGATGTTGTTGTGAAAATGATCTAAAATCAGTCCTATGATTTACTTCTTTTATTAATTATATTGTTTTCTCTCAATCTGTTACAGGAAACTGTCACTAAGAGCCTCTCGTGCCTGAAAAAGACGATCGATAACGTCGCAAACACCTACGCTACAGCTCTGCAGGCGTATGTCTTCACTCTGGCGGAGACATGGAAACCAGTTACAAACTTTTGAGTCACCTTGACAGTGTGGCGATAAAAGAAGGTGTGTCACCCTGAAATAAGTTATTCTAACCAATCAAAATTTCCATATGGATTCCCTTTGTGATGCCACTGTCATTTTCTTGCCCAGCGCTCATGTTGTCTGAATAGCAAATGAGCTTGCAAGGCTTGTGTTAGTCTTAAAATCATGTGGTCAGGCGCACATGTGACCCTTCTTATCTTGAGGATTTAGAAAACTGCCGCATCTGAGAACAAATAAAACCTGTCTAAAGTTTAGTCTGTGGTGCAGTAAGTCCCTGGTATTTAGAGGATGCTTGATGAAGATGGACATCAGTGAGTCAAAACAGACTTCCACTCTGCCCATAAGACAAACATGGAAGCACAGAAACGCTCCAATGCTCAGTTAAATATATTCTTTGCATTTACTGATACATTTAAGTTTTTAAGGGAACAGAGGGCTGAAAGAAGCGCTTGCCCTAATGCATGTTCCGTCTCAGAGAGTTGGATTTATAAAAAAATCTTGTGCATACCTGTGAATGCTACAACAATCAAGCCCATAGATATGAAAACAGACTTTCCATTGTCCATTATGCACACTTAGACAATGTAGCCAAAAATTCCACATTGTAAATGATTGAATAGATCTTTATTGTCATTGCAATCAAAACAAAAGACAATTTAGCTGCACATGTAAAACACAGAAATATTAATTAAACAACATAAAACACACACAGTCAACATTAAAAGCATAACATAAGAGCAATAGTTAAAGGCATGTTGTCGAATAAACAATATAAAAAATAAATAGTTCAAAAGTAGCCATGTCAATAAACATTAAAACATTAAAGCTGCCGAAACATGAAGAGTGCTAGACCACTGGACAACGAGCTGCTCTACCATCTACCTTGCTACCAAGTTCAGACGTTATTTGAATTGTTTTATATGTCTTTTTGATGTTTTAAACACTGGCTGAAACATAAATGTTGTGTATAAATTCTGCATTCGCTGCTGTAACGATTTCTTTTAATAATTTGATCAGAGAAGGCCACTCTGCAAGTCCCTGGTGGGTTTTTAATGCAATCCTCCCCCTCATGCTCATGGGATCATATTATTTTTTCTTTCTAACTGATTCTATATCTAAAAACTACAAAAATGAAATCCTGCTTTGTTTCTGAATGTCCCTCACCTTTGTGTGTTTGTGTCTGTGTGCAGGAGGTTTCACCCACTGGGCTCAGACAGCGACAAACAGATATTTGTCTGTATCTGTGGAGATGACCTCCTACGTGCTGCTCGCCCTACTGTCGCCATACTCGCTTCCTGCTGCCCCTCCTTCCCCCGAAGCACTGGGCTACGCCAGCGGCATCGTCAGATGGCTGACCAGGCAGCAAAAGTATTATGGAGGCTTCTCCTCCACGCAGGTAACCCTCAAATAGTTTAGAGCTGGGAAATCTTATTTGCCCAGGTAGACGTTCTTTGGACAGGCCACCCAGTTTCTGAACACACACCAAATTATGCTCTCCAATTTTTGCATTTTGTATTTGAACCTTTTGTCTAATTGGCTGAGTAAAGGAATACTTTTCACAACCAAATAATTAGATGTATAAGTGGATGGTCTCTACGGGGTAGGGTCTGCTCACATGCTCTGAGGCTAGTCACAGCTGTAGGTGAGTCTGAAACTGCTGAAACTGAAGATCGGTATTAGGGCTGGGAAATATATTGAGTTTTTAAGATATATGGATATATTTTCAAACAAGATATAGGGTAAGACAACATCGTTAATATGGATATAGTTTATGTTGCATTAAAATAACGTTACAGAGGTGTCAGGTCACCTTTTTCTCATCTCACTGATGATGACTGACTGTCTGTCCCTCCTGTCTCTCTCTTTTATTGTATTTAAGGAACATTTTTATTTTATAATATTACTATTTAAATTCACAAACAGGCAGTTTATTTCCATGTGTTTTCACTGTTAACAAAATACATATCGATATATATCGAGCATCCCCATTCAGCTAAACAATATCAAGATATGAGTTTTGGTCCATATCACCCAGCCCTAATCGGTATATAAAACTTGCTATGTCTGTAAACCTGGCCAACAGTAAAAGATATTTAAAACCTAAGAGATTTTCAAATGTGAGAGAGCCCCCACATGATGACTGATGGTAATAGATTAAACGATGTGACCAAACCACCAGAGTGCATGCTAGGCTGTCCTCTGGGTTACCCACACAAAACAGGAGATCGTAAATATGGAACATGTCCTTTTGAGCAGATCAGATTAGCCTTAACATGCCTCACACCACAGGAACATCTGACAGATAATCTTAAGAACAATTGAAAGATAAAGACATTGCCTAGGATCGTTTGAAGGGGAATCGGGCCAAAATCAGTTCTTCTTGTAGTATGTTCTCCGCTTTATAAACAAGATGTCTTCACCTGTTTTAAGTCCTCAATGAGGATTTTTTAAATCTCATTTTTAAACTGACTGAAATGACTGTAAACTGACTGAAATGACTGTAACACTGATGCTCTAAACAACCCCACAAAAGCAAACAAGACCAAATTGAGGCGGTTGATTATTTCTATATATTAATCTGTGCTGGTGCAGGGCAGCTGTCACACATACTATATTCACTTCAATTTGTCGAAGTGAGCTTTTCTTTTTCTACTTTTTTTGTGACATGTTTAACCGTCTAACAAAAGCAGAAGGAGATGTTTTGTCAATACTTCTTACACACGTGCAGGACATAATCAACAGTGATATGATGAGCAGCTTTGTCTGCAGGAGACATTATTATTATTAACACTAAACTAAAGTTCTCTCAGGAGTTTCAAAGTAATAATTAATTTTTGTAATTTATGTCTTTTCACAGGACACAGTGGTGGCCCTTCAGGCTCTCGCTCTCTACTCCACCCTGGTGTTCAATCCTGAAGGTTCGAGCTCAGTGAATGTCAAGTTTTCTGATGAGGGAGATTGATTTTGAAGTGAACCAGGACAACAAGCTGGTTACCAGGAGCACTGGTGATGGCGACCAGACAGGAAAGTACACAGTGGAGGTGGAGGGCAATGCATGTGTCTCAGTGCAGGTCAGTCATAACTGAAGCTCGCTCCTGTTTCTCTTTTTCCCCCTACACTTTCACATTGTTCATATTTAATTGAATGAAATGACAAAGACAAAAAAGGAACAGGAACATTGGTTGGTGAGGGCCTCATGTAGAAACAGAGAAGGGGATGTTAGTCACACAGGTGAATGGTTACGTCCCATAGAGCTTATAGTGTTTTGATCTTCAATATTGACAGGAAATAAAGAGATGCTGATTTTTGTATGGTTTAGTAACTATAGTGGTAAGAAGTTAGTTTAACATAATAACACATGTCACAATACTGGAGCATTGAAAGCATTATGAAAACATTTGACAAAATGAACAACAGTATGATCATACTTTGATCATATATCCGATATCTGCTGCTGTGTCAGAGTAACTCAAACTGAAGGAGTGACTATGCAAGTAAATATGTGCGTTAAAGTGTGCTGGCAGTTGCAGCAGACAGGGGGTCTCCAGACCTGATATTCTTATTACGTCGAAGCAATCTCTGTGCAGAGGGCAAAACGGCTGGTGCTCAATCCCCTTTCTTGTCTATGTGTGCACATGTCTGACAGTAGAGCGATGCCTTGTTGTCACTGGCTCTGTAGTACTGCAGAAAGTTGAGAACTGCCATATTTACAATTTACTTAAAAATAGCTGTTTGTTTGATTTTTATGAAAATAATTAACTTCCTTGTGGGACTTTTCCTAGATTTCTTATCACTACAACGTCCCGCCTACTCCCATAGCAACAACACTTGACGTGGAGGTCAGTACGAAGGCTGAGTGCAGCAGCTCATCTACCAGACCTACGATGACTCTGACTTTGAAGATTGTGTAAGTAGTCATTGACAGCTTGTTGCAGATATTGCAGCAGTGACAGAACACTACTGTCATTCTGAACAAATATTTGTATCCCAGGTTTACCTTTAACTTATGCTGACATTGCACACAAAATCTTTCAACTGATTTCACATCGGCAGATTTATTTTTAAAGAAATTGCGGTAAAAGTTGAAATGTTCTGAAGGCTTTTTTTTTCCCAATGACATCACAGGAGCAAGGGATAAATGTGAGGAGTAATGACAAACTTCATGTATTAACTGTGTACGTCCTAATCTCTGATCACTGGAAATTCTGCAAGTAACAGTTACCACCAAGTCTCAACAGATTATCATATTTTCACTCTAACTGCCCTGGCTGTTTGTGAATTTAGCAATGAGGGTGATTTGCATACAAAGGGACCAGTTTTCCCCCAAACGACTGCATTAAGGCTGATTTTAAAATGTGCAAAAGCACTGACGCACAAAAATACAATTTGCTCTGCAACACAGTTAACCCATTGCACATGCATTGTCATTTAAACTGTGTTGTTTTGTCTAATTTGCACAGGTAAAGGCACAAAAGCTGGACATTTATTTTGTGAATCAGGACCATAGATTTGCAGAACTTCATGTCATGCAAGTTAGATGTCTTTAGATGTGAGAGGGTGTCTGGATTGTAACGTCCATGTAGGGAATAGTACGCCAGCGTACAGAAGCTGCTGATGGATGTACAATAGGAAATGATCACAACTGAATAGTAGCTTCTCAGCTCAAACATATCTTAACTATAAGAACCCTCTCCAAGAACCTCAGATTGTATGTGTGCCTGCAAACAAAAAGGCTTCGGTCACACTGAGTAAAATCTACTTTTTCTTGTTGTGTTACAGATATACGGGAAAACGAGAAACTACAAACATGGTGATCGTGGATATCAAAATGCTCTCTGGATTTGTCCCAGACGAAAAGTCTTTGAAGGAGGTGAGATAATACCTTAAAGGAAACATATTAATCTCCATTTCAACCAGTTTAAATGAGTCTCAGAAGTCCCCAAAACATGTAATATTCTTACTGAAAATCCACTGTGATTTAGCATGCCAAACTCCTACATTTCAGCCCTGCCCAGAACAGGCTGTTTCTGTGTCTGTAGCTTTAAATGCAAATGAGCTGTGTCAGACCACGCCCCTCTCTGTTGGTGCTCTCACTGTTTGTCTATGGACACAGACATAGAGTCTGTTTTCTGCCAGGAATTTCGAAGATGCCAATTCCTTCTGGAAGAAATCTCATAAACAGTTGGGAGTTGGTGTCTTTCATCCACATGAGCCAAAAAGACACTTTCTGTCTTTTCTCGGTCAAGAAGGCACCAACTTCAAAAATGTATTTCACATTTCTACTACATGTATGACCTAATGTCAACACAGATTCATGTTTCAACGGGCGAAGTATCCCTTTAAGATGACCATGACACTACAGCAATACAGAATAAACATCTAACATTAAGATCATCTTCATCTTAAAAATGCTTTGTTGTTCGAACTACATGCGTTTTGTTCCCGCTGAGCAGTCTGAATCTGCTCTCTGCTAGGATCAGAATCATGAATGATTTAAAAAAAAATCAAAGTTCAACGTCCTACTCAACAGTTTTGAATGACACACGCTCCAAGATAACTAAAATGGTATTACCTGATCTAATCTAATTTTGTAAACTTGTTTTCTTTTCTTGTCTTTCTAGTCTTTCTTTTCTTTGATCCTATCCAGTCATACTGCTTTTTATTGATGTTTTTCACTTACAGCTTAAAGGTGAAGCACAAGTGGAGCGTATTGAACACGAGGATGACCATGTTGTGGTGTACATAAAAGAGGTGAGAGACATCGCAGTGACCGAGAATAATTAATGCTCGGCAGATTTTGTTTTCTGATTGCCTCGTCTGTTTTTCTTCCAACAGTTATCAAAGGACATCCCCATCCAATATGACCTGGAGCTCAGACAGGAACTTCCAGTGTCGGACCTGAAGCCAGCTGTGGTCAAAATCTATGACTACTACCAGCAAAGTAAACCAGATACTTTCTCTGCACTAGACATCATTTACAGAGACCACTACTCACTTTAACAAACCCTGCTCCCTTTAGAGATGTACACCACCTGAAAAGTGAAAATACTTTTCAGACAAAACACAAATTTTACCCTTTTTTTTCTCTCTCAGGTGATCAAGATGAGGCCAATTACAACTACCCTTGTGTTGCAGGTAACCATCTTTAATACCATTGGGCCTCATTCACCAATATCTTCTTCTGATTTTTCTTAAATCTGCTCTTAAGAAAGTTTAGAAGAAAAAGCTACGTCAGATTCATGACGTGTTTTTAAAAAAGTAGAATTGTTCTCTCCAGTGATCTTAAATTGATGAATGCAAACAAAATCAATCAAACAAAAGAAAGAAACCAGTCTGTGGTCAACATCTATGACTACTACCAGCAAAGTAAACCAGATACTTTCTCTGCACTAGACATCATTTACAGAGACCACTACTCACTTTAACAAACCCTGCTCCCTTTAGAGATGTACGTCACCTGAAAAGTGAAAATACTTTTCAGACAAAACACAACTTTACCCTTTTTTTCTCTCACAGGTGATCAAGATGAGGCCAATTACAACTACCCTTTTGTTGCAGGTAACTGTCTTTAATACCATTGGGCCTCATTCACCAATATCTTCTTCAGATTTTTCTTAAATCTGCTCTTTAGAAAGTTTAGAAGAAAAAGCTACGTCAGATTCATGACGTGTTTCATGACAGATTCATGACATTAGAATTGTTCTCTCCGGTGATCTTAAATTGATGAATGCAAACAAAATCAATCAAACAAAAGAAAGAAACCAGTCTGTGCCTTTGCTGTTAATAATTATGTTTATTTTCTATTGTTTTTTGTTTTTTTTGCAGGAAAGGTTTGAAGTCTGGTCGACCCTCAGCTCCTCACTGATTTCAGTTTGATACAAAAAAAAAAGAAATGCATTTTTTCAAAGTAACTAAACAGTCAACATCTGTGTAACCAGTGTACGTGTGAAACATGGAACTCGTGCCACATTCAATAAAACGCATTCAACTTCAAACAACTCTGGTGTCCATTGACCTCTGAATGTTTTGCCTGCTGTTTCAACAGATCAGTTACTGTAAGTGTGGAAAGTGGAGACATGCTCAGAAAAGTGTCTTTGTGGCGTTAATTGGAGTGAAATCAAGTTTATAAAAGAACATACCTAGATCATCTGATTAGAAGATTATAGGAAACACTACTTTATGAGAACTAATACAACAAATATGATGAGTCATCATAACCTATCTCAAAATAGTAGTTTCAAAGAGGATTAAATAGTTCATGACTTTCAATAGGGAGAATGGTTTCCCTCCCATGTCCACAGAGTGCCACCCCATACCTGGTTACCTGTTACTATGGAACATGTACGGCCTTCTGTGTTCTGTCAAGATGTGCTGCTTTGTCCAAAAATGCCAAACGACAGGTAGTCTTATCCCCTATGAAATAATGCTACCAGAACAAAATAACTATGTTAATTCACGACTCACTCCATATGCATTATCTGAGTAGGGAGCTAGCATTGTGTGACAGGTCAGTTGCACTAAATTGAAAAACAATACTGATGTAATGGTAATCGGGCTGGACAGTGATTGTATCAACGGAAGAACCAACGTCCTGGTGCTACCCCCGCTGTCCACCACTCAACTCTAAGATGTTTGTTTTATCTCCAGGTTGCTCTGCCACCGCTCAAAAGTCACTCATTCAGTGAGGTAAAAAAACCCTTTTTGTAGCAATGCAGGATTAATGCAAGGGATAAAGGTCGTGTTAAGTTTATTGATTGATCCAAATCTAACCATTTGAAGAGTCAAAAGATGACTGATCAGTGAGTCAGGTATTTAAAGTCCAGATTTGGTTAATCATGCATCCAAGCTCAATGCAAATTAAGATAATTTGTATTTTTGTTCATTCTTTAGGCTCAAATTTCCATGTCCAGGTGAATATGGAAAATGCCCACGGGCCAGATACGGCCCCTCCCCACATTTGGCCCGGCCCTCAGAACAATTCAGAATGCATTTTAAAAATCAAAATTATAATATATATATTTTTTGTCATAGGCCTATAAAAGTTTAGCATTTCAAATAAAATGTTCTTTAGCTGTGAACTTTTGTCATTATTAACTTACATGTTAGGGAAGAGAAAATTTGATTCAGAATTCAGGGTATTTAACCAACAGTGGACTAATGATTTTTTTTCTGTTCAATGCAAAGAAAAGGTTGTTTGTCTCATCTGTCAAGAGGCGGTGGCTGTTAAAAAAAGTGGACTGTTAGCTCTGCAAAATAAATTTGTACACCAAGTTCAACTGAATCAATCTCCTGGGATAAAATCCATCTCCACGATAATACCAGTAGTCATGCCTGCACATGTTATTTTCTGTTACATACAGACCCTGGCCCCCCCATCAAGGTGAAGTTATGAGGCCTTCAAAGAAAAAGGTTTGGGGACCCCTGGTTCAAAGGGTGCATTCGAATTGTCCTTCCTATCTCCTTTCACTATCCACTTTACCTTAACCCCGGAAGCATTTAAGAGGCGGCCATGATAAGAGCCGTTCGAATTCTCTAAAAGTTAAGGAAAGGTGGGTCAATGCTTCCTTTATAACCTCCTTTAGCATAGGATACACTGGACCATCCTTTACGAAAGGAGATGAGATTTGACGCCCCACAATTCCTTGCGGCCGCAACATTTAAAGCGACTCGCGCATCCAACCGTTCACGAACATTATCAATGACAGACAAGGGACGGAGATCATGTAAGTTACCATTGCAATAATATGCCTTGAACAACTTTCAACTATCTTTAACCCGTAGGCGAACTATGAACGTTATGCTGATGTTGTAAAACGATCAAAGTGAGTTTAACTTTTATTGCAGCCTATGCTCAGTTTGCATTTGTTATTTATCCACTTTGAGTGTTTTGGCAGCTGTAAGCAATATCATAAATCACGTTAAACTTTCCTTCAGTCACAGATGCTGAAACCCTTGCCTTGATTAAGGTTCTTGAGATATTATGCAAAGCCATATAATCAGATTATAATCACCATAAAAAAACATCACCCTGTCTTTCAGGTAAAAAGGGATCAGAGACATTTTCATCAGATGATGTTTTATTCAACATATTTTATTCAATTCAGAATGTTTTGTGCATTTCTTCAGATGTACATTCTTGTCTTGCATAAATGTAACAATTAATTTCATATTTATTTTGAAGTTGATTTTGGAGTGGACAGGAAGGTGAAGGTTTCACTTTTGTTACTCGTAGCCTGGTAGTCTATATTTCTTTTATTTCAATCCCAACCTTGTGGTAATTAGGATTATTTCACCGGTAAGAAGGCACAGGGGAAAGTTTTTTAGATGCGTTTTTTGTAGTCCATTTTATGAACATTGTAGTTTAACCACAGCAGACCCACGTCATTAACCTCCGCCGGCCCGTCGCATTTAATGACGTCACCTAGTGGAAAATGTGGTCGGATTGTCAGAGCAACGAGATCGCCTTTCCCTAAGTCCTTTATGAATTCTCCTAACATCGTTCCTTAACCTCATGACGTTTCCCCGGGGTTAAGGTAAAGTAGATAGTGAAAGGAGATAGGAGGGACAATTCGAACGCACCCAAAGTATAAACTGCATGCCAGGTCATTTTTTTTAACCCGTTTTAAGTTCAAGATATATGTATTATGGTGTTAAATGTCATAATTCCATCTGCGCCGCACACTTGCCCTCTCTAGTCCATTCTCATGTATTTACTGCAAACTCTGCTCGGCATCGTTCCACTCCACAATACACGCAATCTATTTTCAATAGAGCCCACCTCAAGCATGTGTCCAACTGAACAGGAAGTAAGACAAGAGAACAGATAAAGCATGATGTCAATTTCAAATTAAAATACAATGTACAGGTACCTGATTGCATATCCCATCACTTTATCAACATTACATCAAAACAGGCACCCACTGAACAGCAATTCAATCTAGCAGCAATTGTATCTTATTTTAATTTTAATTTTTTGTCTTTGTTTGTTTGTTCTTGCTTTAGTTGTCATCTCTATATATTCTTTTTGTTCTCCTTTTAAAAAAAAAAGAACAGCAATTCAACCTCTGAAAGACAAAGTCACATTACTTTTTATTTCAGTGTGATCTTGTAGTTCTGCTGTCATCTTGTGATCCCTCAAGTACAGCTGCATGGCTGTTCACTGCTGTGCTTACTCTTCATAAATACAGACCCAGTGGGTTGGGAGCACGCTGCCAAACAGAGCTAAACCACAGCGGAGACAAAACGCTGCGCATACGGATCCTGTGAAATCCACTAGTGACACAACAACACAACACAACCTTTCGCAAGAATTTGTTCTGCTTTGGACACCTGTTGGGCCACGCAGGCTTAGGACAGTCAAACAATGGACTTGGGCCTGCACCTCTGTAAAAGACTCATTTGAGTTATTCACTGAGATCACAAAGAGGCCTAAAAGGACTCCCAGAATCCCCTGCGGTACTTCACACCTACGCGTGAAGTAAGGGGGGACCGGAACCTCTCTCTCCTCATTTGAGGGGACCTGAGGTAGACCCCCCATGGAGCAGGCCAGGCTACAAAACTCCAAGACTTCCATTGTTCTTTCTCTTTCCACGCGCTGACTTCAAGTGCTCGGAGACCCAAGCTCACCTCCTGTTTTCTGCAACCATCTTCCTTTGTTTTAAGTTTTGTTCTAAATTCCGAGCTCGGATTGTCCAGTGAACGCATCTCAGTTTCTCGGAGAGCGTCAGACTATACCAGATTATCAGAAAGATAACAGTCTTATTCCGTCCTGCAACGAAAGGACATCAAAGGACATCTTTCCACTCGACAGAGAACTAACGAAGCCACTCTTGCCGTAAGGGACCCTCGCCGCCATCAAACGCCTCTGCACCAGGACGGACACAAGATCTGCTCCAATCCCGGACTCTTTTCCTTTCACCAATCGCGGGCAAAGCGATTCACAAGTGAGGCTTAATTAGGTCTGGGCAGAATTAGCTTTAGAGAGTGTTTTTAACAATTGTTTGATCGAAGCAGAAACTGTAATTTTTATCTTTGTTGGACCGCTGCGTCCTATATGTGTTTAGCGTAACAGCGTTATAACCGGGTATTACTCTTCTGATCAGAAAGGCCAGTGTAAGCCGTATTAACTTGAATTCGGCCATTGGTTTGTTTCTATGAATAAAGGGAATTACTCCGAGTTGTGGTGCGGGAGTCGGGCTGTGATCTGGCCTCTCCAGGCACGCATTTCTCTTTTATTCTCTTTTATCCTCTTTTATTTCCCCCTCTACGAACATACACACACAAATATTCACGTGCAAACGTACATCTGGGGACTAACTCCACCACCGCGCCATTACGCACAGAGATCTATACACTCGCGGCTATCCAGACGCCTCAGAGACACAGATCGTGTAGAGCCGAACTCGGTCTCTTTTAGACATTAAGGCCACATTTAGGTCTCTGTTAGGTGTGCGCCATCGGAAGGGCAACCACGTGGGACGAAGTAATCTTCCCCCCCTTTCTCTCCCTTTCATCCACACGCGCACGCACCCAGGTCTTTGTTAGGTTTGCGCCATCGTGAACGACCACATGGGTACGAAGCCATCTCCCCCCTTTCTTCTTTCCCCCCCCCCCTCTCTCACACACAACACACACACACACACACACACACACACACACACACACACACACACACACAGACACAGACACACACACACACACACACACACACACACACACACACACACACACACACACACACACACCTTCCACAAGCCTTGCTTGATAATGTTTGTTGCTTAGATTGGTTTATAATAGTTATTTGTTTGATTAGGTTCATTGATTTTGGATTGATGTTGCTTTGTTTAAATAAATTCTGTTATAATTTAAGAGAGCAGTTGTTTGTGGTTACTGGTGTATTTGCATTGTGATATAAGCTGGGTGCGAAGGCTTTGTGTACGGATTTCACGCCTTCAATTTATTAAATATAGTTATTCATTATTAATGATATTAG